CCTTGGACAGCCTTGGCGAGAGACCAGAATGCATGGGTTCCCGAAGGAAGGCGAACTAGCTTCTCGCCGATTCTGCCGATGTGCTCAGACCTTGCCTTGGCAATGACGCTTTTGAAGGACCTGGATGCGGAATTATACTTCTTTTTAAGTGCGCTGGTGTTTAAATCCCGAGACGTTGATTAGGTCAAGCGACTCATGAACCATCCCCGAGGATGCCGGCGTCGGACTTAGTGACTTATTGTCTTACTTTATCGTCGCACGCGCCAGTCGACAACACGCAACCTCCCGACACCCTGTCCCAATTCTTGTCACATCGCGCATAGAGAATTATGCCTTAAATCGTCTATTTTAAGTAAATTTTTCGCTTGAATTTGTTTTCACATACCCGTAACGTGCGGTCTCTTTGTTTTTAATTTCGCGCATAAGAATTATGCCTTATATTGTTAGCCATAAGTACATTTTTTCTCAATTTATTACTTTATTTGTATAACTCGAATTGGCAATGTTTTAACAAGGTATCTTCACCTTTACGGGCCATGGGTCTTTGAACTTCTAGTATTCATTAGGTGATATCTGATGCATTTTTATGATGTTGTTTAATATTAAAACGAAAAAAGCTACCGCGATTAGAATGTTAATTGTTATATTTTTTTTTAGTTGTGTTGTAGTTAAAGGAACTTTGTGAAGGATACGTCTTTTCATTTAACGTGATAACTTCATCGTCACTCTGTATAAAATAGGATAAGTTTGTGAAGTTTCATTACAATTGGTTCAGCTAATCCGAAGATTAGACCGGACAGACAGACAAACCTTAATAGCTAGCAATGGTTAAGTTTTCGATATAATTAGTGTATTTATCAATATTTTCGTGGCTATAGAATTTAAAGACCTGTTTAAAAGCCATAATTGAATGATACCTTAATATATAAAAATTCCGTGTCAAGATTCTTTCGTTCACGCTAATATACAAACGTATCAGCTGATTTTAATGAAATTTTGTAAAAATGTAATGCTTGCTTCAACTTGAGGGATAGGATAATTTTTATTCCGATAAGTGACCCTCAATATTTTTATTGCGAATTTAAGGATTCTTTTAGCACAAAGGGTCGTCGGAAAGGGCAAAACTAAATCTGTCTGGTCAGCTAGTTGTTTATAAATAATCGTTTACATTTTGATATAATATATGTACGCAATTTTTATTATTATTATGACAATATTTTATAAAAATTTATGCAGGCATTTTAAAATGTAACAGAATGTATTAGGTGTATTGTTCATCTACTATTTATGCACACTTCTATATACTGAAATGAAAATTATCTCCTTCACCAAAGTTTGTCGGGAAGAGATCGCTGTTTAGCGATAAGGCCACCTAATTGTAAATACACTTATAAATTTAAGTTTGCTGTGTTGTGTAGTATTTTGTGTGCGTAGTATAAGTAAAGTAAAGGAATAAATAAAATAGTATATGAAAAAAATTATTTTACTAATCTTTATTAAACATTTAAAAATAAAACTATCTCTCAATACCTCACTATAATTTAGAAATTTGAGTCTCACATGTAACGTTTTTCCGAAGTTTTCGGAACATCTGTTTTTGTGGATACGAGAAGTTATGATAAGTGTTAAGTGTAACTGAGACTTGAGACTGCGGATTCATCCTTAACTCAAAGTTTTGCACCATAAGGGAATTACGGTGTTGAAATCTGCCTATATAAATCATCGTCTATTTCGCGCGTTGTAATATATAAGTATTATTTAAGCATGTGCACATATAATAAAAAATACTTTATTGTACACATGAAGCACTTATGTTGTATCGAAATACATAAGAAATAAAACAATTAAAAAATAAAGTAAAGTTATAACCTATATACGTTCCTCAACTGGGCACTGGCCTCTACATACCCCCTTGCCTATCCCAATTACTATTCCGTAGCTTTCAATGATAGCTTTACATATCTAACTACTAGATGCTTGACTAATATTCTTTCGCCTTTACGTAATTGTAATTCGAAGATTAATTTTAAATCACGCTATATTATACATTATTTATCAGCGCGTCTATAAAATACCGAATGCATCGAGAGTGAGCGAGAGATTGCATCATTTTTACGTGATAGAGCCATGCTGCAGCTATATTAATAGTATAGTTAATTGTAGCACGAATGGGTCTGCTCGACCGGGGAAGGACCACGCTCTCATAGAACACCAGCGTAAAATAGCAGCTTAATGCTGCTGTGTTTCGTATGGTGAGTGTAGATAACTGGAGACTCTTTTTACTGGAAAAGAAGCATTCTATCTTAGTCCTCACGGCTACCAAAGCATCTTAATTCATTACTTAACGTATTTTAAGATATATGTAGATGTCTATGGGCCACAGCAACCACTTACCATCAGGTGGACTGTGTGCTCATTTGCCACCCTTATTCTATAAAAAAAAATATTCTAAAAAGTACAAAGAAACAGTCTAAATACTTTTACAGTTTTTATACATGAAATTGTTACTAAGACCAGCCAAGCCAAAAATTTTACAGAATGATCGTCTAATTAATTTTGAGTAGGAGTAACGCTCAGCATGAATTTATAAGAACGATCCTCCAATTTATCTTTATTCAGATTCCCGAGTCCGATTTCAAATTGTCTACGAAACTTCGTTTTAATTAATTATAAATCACTTTTTCTGCTATTTACTCAGTGATGTTAATCACAATATATTACAAAAATTACAGCTGAAATAGTTTTTAGCTGTAATTATAACTATAGTCTACAAAAAAATTTACTTCAATTTTAACTTTTTTCGCTGTTAGGTCATTATCATTACCGTCTATTTCAGATCCACGCTGAACATAGGCCCGCTATATAGCTGTGATTTGAGCTATTATCAAGAAAATGCTGCTTATATATCCTGCTTTCTTTCTCTTTGTCACGTTACATGAACCAAGGTGATAAAATAAGGTAGGAGATTATCTTTCATCGCCACTACACGGCAAAATTGCACTCTTAATAATAATAAATATAATGCATTATACAGACACCGCATGTTCAGCAACTGTTTTTTTTTCGTCATTTAAATAACCATTATACCATTATAAAAACAAACGTAATTTTGCAGCACGACTTTGACATTTTGTTGATAAAGTATGATTTTTCTTTTCATTTTCTAATTATTAATGAGAATACTAATTGAAATTAAAGAAAGAATTGCTTCGATGGTTTGGTCATGTAGAAAGAATGAATGAGGAAAGAGTGACAAAGCAAATTTATGTTGCAGAGGTAAAGGCAGATTCGGGAAGGGACGTCGTAGGCGAAAGTTTATCGACCAAATTGGCGATATATTGAAAATGGGCCAAATCAAGAGTACCTTTAACCAACGAGCGTGTATGCGTAGGTATATGGATGTGGAGGAAGCGAGAGAGGTGTGTCAGGATCGTGCCAAATAGAAGTCCATAGTCTCTGCTTACCCCTCTGGGTGACAGACGTGAGTGTTTATGTTTTATGTTTTTTTTTAATTTTTTACATAATCTATTTGATTTCCAATAAAAAATCAGACCCTGCGAATTAGATTCTGAAGCATACACAATAAATGGCGGGAAAGCGGCAAGCGTTTCGCTTCACAACGAGGCAGCTAGGCTAGTACACAACATTTATCTTTTAGTAAGCGACAGGAGCGTCATCCATAAAGAGCCTTTTTAAAATATCAGATTTTATTTTTATGGAATATTGCTATCGAACGAGCAGATATATAGAGCGGATAGTAAGTGGATGCTATGGCACATAGACACTTACCTATATTCTCGACTATAATCTCTGAGTACTAAGATAAAATGGCTCGGTACCAATAAATAGGAATGCATTAAAATAATTGGAAAGTTAGTTAAGGTCTTTTTAGACGACGTTATAAATAGAAAGGAAGCTTGCAATATATGTGTATGTTTTTTGTACGTATATGACGCAATACCTTCGTCAATTGAGAATCGATTTTAATGATACTTTATTCATTAAAATAGATGATAAATTATGTACTGGCTTGCCTTCGTTACTTTTCTATCACACCCTTCCTTCCAATTATATGCAAAACAAAACTTATGGCGCCATCTGTTGGCCTACAACAAAAGTGTCTGCAAGAGAAGTCGACGCGATCGATACACACATGTAATCAAGACTCAAGACGAACTGCATCGGTAATGGCTGTTCTTGTCTAAACCTTCCAAAATAAAATCAATGTAATTAAGAGTTAGTGAGTGTGCCGGGTCGACCCAGCTGTGTGCATAGACTATATAATCACGTAGGAGTGTGGTCAAGGAAGACTGAAGCCTTCCACATCCGAAGATATTGTTGAAGCCAAGTTGAAGTTGATCGCCGCTGCCGCTAACCGTGAGTTTACCTATTTCATTTACCCTTCCTGGTGGGCCAGACTAATTTTCTCTCACTGTAGGTAAATTAAGTAGCAATTCCAAATCAAATTCTTTTTATTTTTATTTCAAGTAGAAGTGTCGCGATTACTACAAAAACGGAGTTCAATCAGCGCAATTTCTATTCTAACCGTTAACAAAGTGGTCCGTACGAGCGCGAATTTCCTATGGTATTTTGGGTTCAATTCATTTGAAAACTCCAAAATTACAGTTCATAGCAATTCAGCTTAAAAAAAAAAAAAACTTTTACAAGTAAAATTTGGTAAGGTACTTCTTTAATTGCCTTAATTTTAACGATATAGGTAAGACGAAGTAATTTATTAAATTTATTTGATATATAATTTTATAATTAGGAAGAATTATTCTCTGTCGATTGCATAAATTACAATTACTCGTTATGTGCCGTTCGTTGTACTTAAACACGGAGGTAGTAGGTGAATAATTATACTCCACATATTCAATACTGATACGTTGTTTCAATGGGTGTAGTTACAATATATACCTATTAATAGCGTTATTATTGATTAGTTAAAAAGTAGGTTTGTTTTTAAATTTACGGTTTTATTGGTTATAATTTCAAACATAATGACAGATAAGGCAAAGTCGAACGCTAGTGAAATTGAGAGACAACTCAAGTTGCTTACTATTCAAAGGGAATATGCATTTCGAGAAATTCAAATACTATGTGATTTATCGAAGAATATCCAAACGGATACAACTTCTGCCTCTCAATTCGAGTCTAGGTTTAAGCGTATTGATTTAGTGCGTAAAGAATTCTTGGAGTATACCAATCAAATAAACGATTTAAAGTTAAAATTAAAGCCGGACGATATTATTGATATGAAGCCCGTGATTGCGTTTGACGACATGTACTACACCGTCGATGCCGCCAGGGCTGCTCTAAGCGAGGGTCGCACTCGAGCCGATCCGCAATGCGACCCGGATCCGAGTTTGACTTACGGATTTTCATACCATAGTACGAAACCATACGCGCAAGCACGCTTACCGAAACTCGAGCTGCCGAAATTTGATGGAAACATTGAACATTGGCAAACTTTCTTCGATACATTTTCCACACTTGTACATGAAAACAATAATATAAGGTCAATCGAAAAGTTTCATTATTTGTTGACGTGTCTCTCGGGTTCAGCGTTGTCAATCGCAAAAGGAGTGCCTGTTACCTCTGATAACTACAAAATTGTTTTTGACGCACTTATCGAGCGGTTCCAAAACAAACGAATTTTGGCCGCAACGTACTTAGATAAAATTTGTTGCTTCATTCCTTTGAAGTCCAGTAATTATGCCGATTTACGTAATTGAACCAATGTGTTGAATGAAACCGTTAATGCTCTTAGAGCTATGAAAATTAAAAAATTAGATGAGTTCATTTTATTTTATTTAGCTGCGCGTGTTTTAGATTCTGATACACGTAAACGTTTTGAAATGCAAAACGGGGAACAAATTCCTACCTTTTCTGATTTGTTAATTTTCTTACAAAGTTATGTTAAAGTTCTAGAGGTTAGTCAATCGGGCAATTGTTCCGGGTCTGGATTTCAATCGGGACAGTTGTATAAAAATAATGTACGTGCCACCGGGACACGAAATAGTCACAATAATAAACAATACCATAAATCTATATCGTTGCCGTCGAACACTGCCATAGCTTCAAATGCTTCAAATAAAACAGCTGATTGTCTATGTTGCGGGGCGGCACATGCGCTTTTCAAATGTCCGAATTTTCAAGAACTTGATATTTCTGAAAGATACGGCTTAGTGTCTAATAAAAATGTTTGCATGAATTGCTTACGTTTAAATCATAATACAAAAAAATGTTTTTCAAAAATTACATGCTCAACTTGTGGTGAGCGTCATCATTCGTTGCTCCACGATAACACTACCATTGCTGCTGTTCCGTGTTGCTCCACTGACAAGACTAGCGACAAAACAGTAGTTACGGTTGACGACTTGACCTCGACTGCGAGCTCCGTGACTACCAGCGCTCACGTTGGTCATAGTCGTGCTCTCGTTTTGCTCGGCACATGTGTAGTGCGCGTGCGTGGTTGCGGTGCTGCCGCTCAGTATACTACCGCCCGCGCACTTATTGACAGTGGAGCTCAGGATAGTTTTATGACGTTATCACTCGCTCAACGTTTAGGGTTGCCCATTCGCCGCTGCAATTTAGCTGTGGCAGGTTTAGGACAAAATGTAGTGCATCAAATAAAGGGTGAAACTTCATGCGTGGTAATGCCAACGGATTCTGATAGTCCAAACTTCACTATTAATGCCATAATAATGAATACAATAACAAGTAAAATGCCTGTTGTAGAAGTGCCTTCTGAGGTTCGTGAAAATTTTAAACATCTAGTTTTAGCAGACAAACAGTTCGACAAACCCACTAATATAGACATGCTGCTGGGCGCAGAGCTATTCCATAAAATTTATGATGGCCAACGCCTAGAGATAGGTCCTGGTTTACCAGTCGCTCTACATAGTGTCTTTGGGTGGGTGCTCACTGGCAAAATTGATCACAGCTGTCACCCTCCACCTATGGTTTCTTCCCTCGTTACTTCCACCCGGCTTTTGAATGACGTGGTCAAGCGTTTTTGGGAGGTCGAAGAACCACCGAAAACATTTATATCGAACCCCGAAGATGTTAAATGCGAAGAACTCTACTCTACTCTTGTGTCACGTAAACCTGACGGTCGTTACGTCGTTCCTTTGTTACTGAAGAAGCCTTGTGATGATCTGGGTAAATCTTTCGAGATGGCAAAATCACGCTTATTCAAACTCGAAAAGCGACTTGAGCGCAATGTAGAGTTAAAAAAGGACTATTCTGATTTTATGACTGAATATTCAGATCTGGGCCATATGCAACCCGCAGACGTTGGATCAGGCAAATTTGTAATTCCGCATCATTGTGTACTCCGCCCTGAGAGTACTACGACAAAACTACGTGTCGTTTTTGATGCAAGTGCCAGAACGACGAACGGAAAATCTTTAAATGATATCGTGTACACTGGGCCTAAGCTTCAAAATGACATTGTTGATGTGCTGACAAAATTTCGTCTTCACGCAATAGTGTTTACATCCGATATTTCGAAAATGTATCGCAATATAGATTTACGTCAGGAAGATCGAGGGTGGCAACACGTGTTGTGGAGAAACTCTCCAGCTGATCCCGTGCGTGAGTTCGAATTAAATACCGTGACATACGGTGTAACTAGTTCACCATACTTAGCCATTCGTACTCTGCATCAATTAGCGGTCGATCATGCTTCTGAGTATCCTCAAGCGGCTCACGTTATACGTCATGATACTTTTATGGACGACATAACAACCGGAGCGCCATCTCTTAAACAGGCACTTGAGCTCAAAGATGAACTTATTAAACTACTGGGCTGTGCGCAATTTGAGCTGCGTAAATGGTGTAGTAATTCAGCTGAGTTTATTGCAGCTCTACCGTCTGAACATTGTCAAGTACCTAGGGCCTTTTGTGACGAAAATCACAACCATATCCTTAAAATTCTTGGTATACAGTGGGACTCCGTAGAAGACTTCTTTAAATATTCAGTGTCCGGGTTCAATTACAATTTAACAAAGCGTGCAATATTATCAAATATCGCTCGCATCTATGACCCAATTGGTTGGCTCACTCCTGTTGTTCTAATAGCTAAACTATTGCTTCAAGACATGTGGCGCCTTCAGCTAAGTTGGGACAAACCCGTTCCACCTGAGATCGCTCACCAATGGCACAACTTTATCTCTGAAATGCAACATGTTAAACAGATTAAACTGACTCGTAGAGTTACACATGATGACGCCAAGAGTTACCAATTGATTGGGTTTTGTGATGGCTCTTCAAAGGCATATGGATGTTGTGTATACTTGAGGGCAGTTCGTGCCAACCATTTTAACACGCATCTGTTGATTGCAAAATCAAAAGTTGCACCCCTAAAACCACTAACGGTTAACCGTCTAGAGCTTTGCGGTGCTGTCCTTCTAGGGCGAGTTCTTAAGCACATGCAAAATTTGCTGCGAGATAAAATCCCTCTCAGTAAAGTGATTGCCTTTACTGATAGTAACACGGTTCTAGCATGGTTGCACACGGAACCTCATAAACTGAAGACTTTTGTTTCCCATCGCGTTGCGAAAATCATCGACGATGTATCAGTTGATAGCTGGCAACACGTATCAACATATGATAATCCTGCCGATCATTGCAGTCGAGGTCTTAGCGGTTCACAGCTAGCGACATGTTGTACGTGGTGGTCAGGTCCAAATTGGCTCGCTAACGATTCCTCCACTTGGCCAGTAAAGTGCAAGTGGGAATCACAAGATTCCGTACCCGAGTTGCGCTCTACTGCTCATGTATCTCAAACGGATACTAGCTCTGCTGAGTTGGACTTTATTAGTGGACTGTTAGACCGTTACTCCACGCTATCCCGCGTCCAGCGTGTGCTAGCTTGGTGTCTGCGTGCTGTAGCAGCATTCAAACGAAACTCTAAAACTAAGAATTTCCTGAGCGTATCAGAGCTGGAGCAGTCTATCGTCTATATGGTTCGACATGAACAAAAACTTCATCTTACAGATGAAGTCAAAGCCACCAAATCCGTTAAAAAACTGAGTCCATTTATTGATGATGCGGGATTGCTGCGAGTGGGGGGCCGTCTAAAGCACGCTAATCTACCGGCAACTATAAAACATCCCGTATTGTTGCCAAAGGCTTCACGCTTATCCTTGTTGATCATAGATCACTTTCATGTCAATTACTTACACTGTGGTCCTCGTACTCTTCAATCGATTATTCAGCGTAGATATTGGATACTTGGCATCCGTAACTTAATTCGGTCGCGTTTATCTAAATGCATAGCATGTTTTAAGGTGAAACCGGTTGTTTGTCAGCCTTTAATGGGAAATCTTCCTTCACCAAGAGTACAACCGACGCGGTGTTTCCAAAATGTGGGAATCGACTTTGCCGGTCCATTCATGGTGAAGGAAAGTCGTAGACGAAACGCTCGTACTTACAAGGCCTACGTGTGTGTATTCGTTTGCCTCGCGGTAAAGGCTATCCATCTTGAGGCAGTAACCGAGCTATCGACTTCTGCTTTTCTTGCAGCGTTAGATCGCTTCGTATCACGTCGTGGCCTTTGTACCTTCATAGTCACCGACTGCGGCACTAACTTTATTGGTGCCCGCCGTTACCTTAACGAACTACAGCAAATGATTTCTAAGAATAAGGATTCACTTGAGTCTAGTCTTGCGAAACGAAACATTATCTGGCGACTGAACCCTCCTACCGGGAGTAATTTTGGTGGCATATTTGAGAGCGGTGTAAAATCAATGAAGTTTCACTTAAAACGCGTTATAGGGTTACAAGTATTGACATTCGAGGAGCTCATAACAATTCTTACTAAAGTCGAAGCCATACTTAACTCGCGACCGTTGTGCTGTCTATCTCCGGATCCTAATGAGGTCGATATTCTTACACCTGGTCATTTTTTGGTCCATGGTTCTCTTATATCGTTACCAGAACCTGAACTTTCTAATGAATATGTTCCACCTCGGGCCCGCTGGCAGATGTTGCAAAAACTTACACAGTCTTTTTGGCATACTTGGCAACGCGATTATCTCCATACCTTGCAGCAACGCGCGAAATGGTTTCGAGAACAACCAAATATTCATGTCGGAGATATTGTACTAATTGTCGATAGCAATTTACCACCACTAGAGTGGCGTTCAGGTAGAGTTCAAGACGTGCATCCCGGCAAAGACGGTGTAGTGCGCGTGGTCACCCTACGCACTACTAATGGACTCCTTAAGAGACCAGTAAATAAACTGTGTCCTCTACCTTTAAATCAATAATATATAGCTATACTTATAAAAAAAAAAATGTCAATTTTTTTTCTCATAATTAATATTATAGTTTTTTGTTATTTAGCTTACAGGTATAGTTAGATATTAAATTTTGTTGCCTTACATACCTTTCTAATAGGTATGCAACTCAAATTCAAGTATTAATATTATAGTTAGGTAGATATTATTCTATGTTAGTTTCTAGTTCGTGAAGTATTTAGTTTTATAGGGAGAACTGCTATTATTACTCATGAAATCTGAAACGATTTCAAGTAGGGGGGAATTATGTACTGGCTTGCCTTCGTTACTTTTCTATCACACCCTTCCTTCCAATTATATGCAAAACAAAACTTATGGCGCCATCTGTTGGCCTACAACAAAAGTGTCTGCAAGAGAAGTCGACGCGATCGATACACACATGTAATCAAGACTCAAGACGAACTGCATCGGTAATGGCTGTTCTTGTCTAAACCTTCCAAAATAAAATCAATGTAATTAAGAGTTAGTGAGTGTGCCGGGTCGACCCAGCTGTGTGCATAGACTATATAATCACGTAGGAGTGTGGTCAAGGAAGACTGAAGCCTTCCACATCCGAAGATATTGTTGAAGCCAAGTTGAAGTTGATCGCCGCTGCCGCTAACCGTGAGTTTACCTATTTCATTTACCCTTCCTGGTGGGCCAGACTAATTTTCTCTCACTGTAGGTAAATTAAGTAGCAATTCCAAATCAAATTCTTTTTATTTTTATTTCAAGTAGAAGTGTCGCGATTACTACAAAAACGGAGTTCAATCAGCGCAATTTCTATTCTAACCGTTAACAAACTCTTTAACTTAACTAAATAAACGACACAGAGATTGTGATAATATTCCTCGGTCTACTCGAAGGGGTAAAGTAAATAACTTTAAATTAAAAGTAAAAGCCGAGCCTAAGATTACAAACAAAATAGTAGATGTTTAAAAAAAACTTGTGTATGGAGTCCCCGCTCTTCCTTATCTATAAGAGTCGTGCGAGAGAGTGCGTGGGTGCGTACGTGCGTGCGCACGCGCGTGGCGTGTGTGCGTACTTGCATGCGTGCGTGCGTGTGTGCGCGCACGCGCGTGCGTGTGTGTGGGTGTGTGCGTGCGCGTGCGTGTGTGTATGTATGTGTGTGTGTGTGTGTGTGTGTGTGTGTGTGTGTGTGTGTGTATGTGTGTGTGTGTGGATGTGTGTGTGTGTGTGAGTGTGTGTGCGTGCTTGCGTGCTTGCATGCGTGCGTGCGTGCGTACGTGTGTGCAACCTTTACAGCCTATAAAAGTCCACTGCTGAACATAAGACCCTCCCGTAGATTGCCTCATAGGGAGGACTTTATATTTTCATAATCACCACGCCATTATTTTGATTAGTTATGAGGAAGATGCTACTGCCTGTCTTGTTTTAGTTTCCCTTTGTAGCCTATACTACTTACGGCACCTACGGCATAATATGGAGAAGTGGATATTTTTACATAGCCACTACACGGTTCTCTACGTACATAACTTTTTTCATATACGTGTAAGTTTCCTAATGTTGTTTTTCTTCACACACTGAAAATAGCAGTTTATAGTTTTATTGGTGACTTCGAGTATCGAATCGTGATGTTCGTGTACTATTTAATTTACGGCGAATGCTTATGCCCTGAACTGGCTAATTAATTACAGTCTGTGGGGTATTCCATCTTAGTCTTTAGAGGGGACAACGCACCTTTTTTATATAGGATAGGGTGACAAAAGAGCACACAGTCCACCTGATGGTAACTGGACTCAACAGCTCAACCGGGGAAGGAACACGCTTTCACAGAATACCAGCGTAAAATAGCAGCTTATGAGTAATGCTGCTGTGTTCCACATGGTGAGTGTAGAGAACCGGAGAACCTTTTTACTGGAAACGAGGCATTACATCTTAATCATCAGGGATGACAATGCATCTGCATTTGATTCTTAATCGAGGATAAATGTGTATGAGCCACAGCATGCACTTATCATCAGGTGGACTGTGTGTTCGTTTGTCATCCTTATTTTATAAAAAAAAGGTTGAGCTGGTGTTTTAGTTGATATTCTGTAATAGCGTGGTCTATCCGTGGTTTAGCCAACCCATTGGTGCTACAAGTATAATCTAGCTGCAGCATGACTAATACGTATAAAGGTTTTTTATCTCTTTTGTGACTTTAAAGTTATATAAAACACTATAACAACACATTTATAAACCATCTAATACAATAGTAGCAACAACTATACACCTAGGTTAAGTTTTTGTCAATGCTATCTTTTTTTTTTTTTTCTTTTTTAAAAAAACTTTACCCCCACACTAAGATTTTCTCCTGTATCGTGGAGGCAGTTTACAAACATAAATTGCACAAGGACAAACATCCAGACCCGGAACAGTTATTTGTAGGCCATACAAATACTTGTTCCGTGCGGGATTCGAACCCGCGGCCCCCAGCGCAACGACTGATTGCTAAGCCACTGCGCCACGGAGCCGTCAATTTCAAAGTTGGGAATAAAAATTCAAGTGTCGTACAATAAAAAATATTGCAGCGTAATCCCGTTGAGTACAATGCGGCTTTGTAATGCTTTGCGGGTTTTAAATGGCTGCATTAAGCAGGACGCGAGATAAAATATTATATGTTTTGTCTTGTAACGGTGGTCGCTACCGAGCTTTTTTTAATATAACTTGAATAATTATTTGTGCAACATAACATGTTTGTGAAATGTTCTTTTTTCAATAAAATTATGTCGAGCTAGTTTTCTTGTCGATTATTTTTCGAACCAGTTGTAAATTAAACATATGAATAAATTTCAATAAGTATTATTTATTATATATATCGGATACAAAAGCTCTATTTTTATTTCAGAAATCAGTCTTTGTTTGTGATGAACTATTAAAGCTAATTCAAGTCTTTCTGTAAGAAAAAAAGTAACACATTGCACCACGTAGCCGTCACTGGCGAACACTTTGCTTTTTTTTATAGGCTCACCTGATGGTAAGTGACTACCGCCGCCCATGAACAACCGAAACACCAGGGGAATTACAGATGCGTTGCCGGCCTTTTAAAAAGGAGTAGGCTCTTTGCTTGAAGGCCCCTAAGTCGTATCGGTCCAGAAAAATCGCTGGTGGTAAAGTATTCCACAAGGAAGTTGTGCGAGGAAGAAAACATATTCTATGACGCCGAGGATTCCGATACTGGCAACTAGGGGAGTGCCTTGAAACTGAGGAAATACGACACAAGGGTTCCCTTTAGCGGTAAACGCGCAAACTTGTGTCTTCTGGGGATTGAACTGGACTAGATTTAGTCGCCCCCAATCCGAGACTTTATCCAGCAAAGACTCGACTTCAGACACAAGTTTGTTCCGGTACTCGGCGACGTTTTCCTGAGAATTATTAGCACGGCCGGTGTATAGAGCATCACCAGTGCTGTCATCAGCATAGCAATGAATGCTACCGGTTTGCATTATATCATTGATATGCCGAAGAAACAGCGTTGGTGATAGCACGCAGCCTTGTGGAACACCAGCGTTAATAGGCTTGTAGTCGGAGCATGCACCGACTACAATGACCTTGATGCTCCGATCTGTAAGAAAGCTGGTGATTCAATTGCATAATTGCTCGGGAAGCCCATAGGAAGGGAGCTTCGAAAGAAGCGCTTTCTGCCAAACCCGATCGAAGGCCTTCTCAATGTCCAAACTAACGACCAATGCCTCCCCCTTGGACTATACTGCCTCCACCCATCTATGAGTTAAGTAGACCAGAAGATCACCAGCTGATCGACGCCGACGAAAACCGTATTGGCGGTCACTAATCAGCTGGTGATCCTCAAGGTACCGCATGAGGTGGCAGTTTATAACGGATTTCATTATTTTGGAGAACAAGGAGGTGATGGCGATAGGCCTGCAGCTGGAAGGGTCTGAGCGGTCACCTTTTTTAGGGATCAGGTGGACTAAAGCTGTCTTCCATGATTTCGGGACTACGCCTAGGGAGTAGGAGTACCGGAAAAGACGCGTTATAACCGGTGCCAACTCCGGAGCTCACGTCCTCAGCACAATTGGGGGGATTCCGTCAGGCCCACTCGACTTGTGGATGTCCAGGGAGAGGAGTGCTCTGCGAACCGAATGCTGTGAGAACCGCACATCCGGTATGGAGCACTCACACCGCGGGATGGTCGGCGGTGTGGTCCTCCCGTTATCAACACTCGAGTTGGACCCAAAAAGGGAGCCTAAAAGGTCGGCTTTCTCTTTTACGTCGTTTGCCAGTGAGTCGTCCTCCCTGTGCAGAGATGGTAGTGATGGATTACAGAAATTCCCTTGGACAGCCTTGGTGAGAGACCAGAATGCACGGGTTTCCGAAGGAATGCGAACTATTTTCTCGCCAATTCTGCCTATGTGCTCTGACTTTGCCTTGGCAATAACTCTTTTGAAGGACCTGGAGGTGAATTTATACTTCTTTTTAAGTATATAATAGTCGCTTACGCGGATTGCAGATGTTGACGATCATACACCTTCCCTGTTGGACCTTCTGCTAAACTCTCATCCGGACAGATATCAAGTTTCCTTCGATGCCCCTCTTGGCTCTTCGGACCATTGTCTGATCCGGAGTGTGGTGCCACTCACGCTCCCCTCGCGGTTGTATTCTGCAGGTTGCCGCCATGTTTGACATTACAGGTCGGCGGATTGGGACGGAATGCGGTCTTTCTTTGCTTCCTAGCCATGGGGGCGGGTTTGCTTCTCGCCGGATGATCCCAGCGCTGTTGCTGACTCCGTCACTGATGTGGTGCTACAGGGAATGAAACTATTTATTCCATCATCTGTGGTACCCATCGGATGCAGATCTCAGCCTTGGTTTGGTCGCCTATGTAAGATTGCATTACCCAGCAAGCAGGAGTGTTATCAAACCTGGGCTGCGGCTTCGGCGACTCGGGATGTAACACCAGCATACTTAAAAAGAAGTATAACTTCGCCTCCAGGTCTTTCAAAAGAGTTATTGCCAAGGCAAAGTCA